CTCCCTCTCCCCCTCTCTCTCTCTCTCTCTCTCTCTCTCTCTCTTTCATTCTTCTGTTTTGTATGCGTGTTATTGGTTTGTTGTGTTTTTTTTCTCGTTTGCTGCCGAGTTCAACCTTTTGTGTGCGTCATGTTGAGTTGATTGCAGCCACCAAAAAGGACAATATCTGCGGTTTTAATTGCGTACATCCAATATATTTGTTTTGATATGCAATTTCACGGAAAAAAGAAAGCGAAAAAAGTAAAACATTCAACTCAAACAATTGCCTGATTTCAAATCTATAACTATAATGGCCAAAATGCTGGCCGCTTTTTTTTCCGCTTGGAATTCATTTTGGTGCGCCCATACATTTATTGATTTTAGCCTGATGATGCTCAGGGGAAATGGGCTCACGTTTGAATATAATAATATTTCCGTGATCCAAACCGATTTAATTCATCGAAACATTCAAATAAAATGGCACAAGAAACATTTCAATTAAATAAAATTCCCGAATCAGCGTGCATGGCACGCATCTCTTTTTATAGTTTCGTTCTTTTTTTTCGAGCCACATGACGCGAATACATGGGTGTGCTCGGTGCGCTCTGCTGTTTTTCCAACCTAATTGAATTAAATATGCACAATGAATTAGTAGTTTTGTTAATAAAAAAAACATAAGCACAAACAATATAATAGAAACAATAGAGCTTATGCGGTGAATATTGTTGTCGTCGTTTTCATTCACCACTCTTTCGATTGATAGAGCACATTGGGCAAAAACAAATATCAATTCATTGACATTGATCAAATTATATTTACTTGCTGGTTGTGCATTTTTAAGTTGATTGGTCATTGACTATCGACAATGGCAAATACACAACAACAAAAAATTGATCACATCAAAGATTTAAATAATAAAAATATTTCCGATACATTTTTCAAATAGCTAATCAAATCATACGCTCCAATTATATGAAAAACACATGCGCTTCAAATCAACGACAAAAACCATAAATAGCCAATAACAACAATAAACCGATGGTACACTCCCATTTTGCTCATTTTACCTCTAATGAATTTTTTATGCAATGGATCAAGCTGAGCTCATTTGACTGACTACAGTTTGCCACTTCAACGATAAAATGGATTTGGAATCGATTCAAAATCCAAATTCATCAAATGAATGCAAAAAATTATTAGAATAATACATACACAAAAATAGAAATAATCAATGTCATAGTAAAATTAAACTGACCAGAAAATAGTTGGACATGAAAAGTTTAGTATGTCTAATAAAAAAAAAGAGAATACGCACCGTTCTCGCACAGAATGCAAGGTGTGAAAAAAGTAATGAAAACAAAACAAAAAGATTTAAATGAATTTTGAACGCAGTTTAATGATAAATCATCTTAAAAAGCCGAATTAACACGTATAAACGAATACTTGATAATTGGGAACGAGCCGATGGCAGAAGAAAAAAATGACAGAAAAACGAGTTAGAGAGAAAAATGCCTCATAGACAAGAACAACAGCAGAAGTAGAAGAAGAAAAAACTGCTCACGTCATTCTATTTAATTATATGGCTTTTAAATTAATAATATCAGGTGTCAGAAATGTGTGTGTGCTTGCTTGTTTCTTCCATTCATGATGCATATACGATTCAGCATATGGGCTTTTTATGTTAGTTTTTGTCTACCAGCTGTGTGATGGCTGACAAACATATACTGCTTGTTATTTCGTTAATCTATGTTGGCCGCTAATCTCTTTTCATGACTCACATTTCTTTTAGTCCCTGTCTCTATCTTTCCTTCTCAGTCCATTCCATTTGCTTACTTCTCTGTTCGATCGTACGTGCATGGTTTGACCGGCGTCTATGGCCGACGCTTTTTCTTCTGCTTCGTTTTTATGCTGAATTAACACATAATTCCAAGAGTCTAATTGAATGATGTGAGAGAATTCGGACTGTTCATTTCTACAAAATGTAATTAATTTACTAAAAAGCCAAGCTTGATAAAATCAACCAGTCTATTCCACTCGAAAATACTCAAATCGAACATTGAAGAGAGCAAGCGAAAAAAAGACGAAGAGAAGGAAATCGGCCATTGGCAATCTAAAAATAAACGATTCGGAACGCTGGCACCCAGGAACGAAACGAGTCATACCGTACGCTACGAATTGCGAAATTCGTTTGTATTTCTTTGAGAAATATATTTTAATCGAATCGACTGTAAATATTTAAAGAGTAAACAAGGAAGCAAATAAATAAGCTCACGAGAAGTTGACAGAAAAACGAGGAAAGGAAGAAGAAGAAGAAGTGGCAAAGAGAAGATAATGTGCGCTCGCTCATCACAGATTGCGAGGTGGTGGTGGCGACGGCGACGCCGAGTGACAAAAATCGACACATCTTTTAAAAAAAACAGCTGCGATGCATATGTATTTCTAAATTTATATTTATTTAGACATCAAATTAGCTGGCTGGTAATCTAATTCGTCGCTTCTGATCCCAAACGTTTCTTTTTGTTCGGCAACTGATTTCGGTATTTATATTTTCGACAAATGGCCCGGGATTTGCCATTCCAAGACAGTTTTTTTTATCAATTTGCATGCGACAGACAAACACACACACCCACAAATGGGGAACGGTGCTCAGTGAGCGAAAGAGAGATTATGACTTTTTGATGCTGTCGCCACTTGAGAAAATCCGTTAATTTTTCGCGTGGCACAAACAGAAAAAGAAACACATAAAATGCTAAACACACGCGAACGAACGAACTGACGAGTGGGAATGAGAACGAAAGATAGTCGACCGTAGTAAATTGAAGTTCATTTATGCAATGTTAACGTCAAAATGGACATCAATTTCGCTTGATGTATAAATATTCAATTTAAACTGTGTTTACTCTAGAATTCTGTGCTGCGAGCGCGGGTGCGCTCTCTCGTCCACCAAACAAAAAGGCGTCTTCAAAGTACTCGTTCTTTTGCTCCATTCTCTCTGTTCGGCGACTCATCAAATGGTTTCTTTGCTTTCTTAATACATACAAATTTATTTTCTCACTTTTCATTGAGGTATACACTTGAGAAGCACACTTTGTGCATCTTTGATTTACAATGTTTACGCCATGATCTCGCACACCATTCCACTGGCGCAGAACATTCACTCGACTGCGCGCGCTGAATAAACGTTGATTGATTTTTTTTAAAGAAGACATAATCCCGAATATCGAATTCGACCATTTTCGATGTAACTCAAATCCATCATGAATTTAATAAGATATTTTAATACCTAATCTAAACATCACAGCTTTTGCTCAATCACCTGCCAATCAATGACTAGTTAGAGGTGGCTGGGCAAAAACGATGAATGAAGTCATCTGTATAATAAGCTAGTTTGTGGCGGGCGATTAAATCTCGTACCGATTGCATAATCCTCTCTAGATTATAATTCAATTTTAATCAGGCATACATTCCACGTTTTTTTCCCTCTCTCTCTCTATCTCTATCTCTCTCTCCTTCTATCTCTCTCCGTGTGTGTGTGTGTATGTGCAATTGCTGCGAAATAATAAGCATATTTTCGAAATTGATTGCTGTTCGCTAAATTAGACTAATGTTTTCAAACATTAATATACTGTGATCAAACCGCATTATCCGGCATCGGTTTCTCTCTCTCCCTCTGCTGCTATACCGTTTACCTCTCAAACATGGCAATTATTTATAATTGTTCAATTTAAACTGACAATTCTATTTGTTAGCACGTCGAGTATAGGCCACTTATAACGAGCGCAAACGTTTGCGAGAGCGCTCACCGTGCGCACGACAATGACCAGAGAAATCTCCTCATTCCGAAACATTACAAAATCGAACGAACGAAGAGAGAGAGAGAGAGAGAGAGAGAGAGAAAAATCATTCGCAGACACCATTTCCGACCACGAAAAAAAAATACATGAAAAGTACAATCGTAAAGCGGGAAAAATATTTAATTAAATAAAATTGAAAACAGGTTCTGAAAACGAGCAGATACAGAATTTAATTAATTAATTTCGATTCTTTTATTATATTCGCGCTATAAATAAAGAGTATTACATGGGCTTTATTGGGTGTGCGCAAGAGAGAGAGAGTGAGAGAGAGTTGGTCGGTCATGGTTGTTGTTGTTGCTGCTACTTTTTTTCGTTGGTTCGAGTCGGACATGGCGTGAGATCGGCTGTTGAAGACTGAGGAACAAACAGAAAATGAACAACGAAAACAACAGCAACCGCGCAGCAGCGGTTGAAAAAAAGGCACAAATGCGCACACGAAACAACATCATATAATTGATTACTTCGAAAAGATCTCGGCTTATTGATAACTGTCCAGTGCACAGATATACACACGCCAGTCCATTTGAGTTACGTGTTATTACAATTTCATTATGCGAAATCAATAAATTGAGCCAATTTATATGTGAATTTATGTGCATCACGCATTGTGCATATTAATTAAAAACTCCGTGTTGTTTTGCACGGCATTCGTTTTTTTCTCCATTTCTCTCTCTCTCTCGCTGGTTACCAAAACAAAAACTCATTTAAGAATATAATGCGAGGCGATCGAACGGTTTTTTTATTTTCTCTCTCTTTTTTTCCGTTTCCATTGCAAATATGAAATGTTATCTGTTTTTCAGTGTGATATGTTTCGGATAAGCGCCAAAGCTTATGCTCATTGACTAGGACGATGTGGAATGAAGTGCATCGTCTCCATCGGACGAAAAAAAAAGTAGCGCAAAATGTTTTGACATGATGGAATGCTCAGATACATTTTCTAGTTAATTGCCTTAATAGGTGCTTTGAAAAATGGAATGAAGTGAAATACAGAGTGAAAAGTACAAATAGTTGAATATTCATGAGAGAGCACCGAAAAAAAGCAAGCCAACAACACTGAATAGAGTAGTAATAGCAGTCGAGTAGTAGTAGTAGTCGTAGTAGCTAACATTTTTCGATGCACCGACGATATTTTGAATGTTTTGTTTTTTTTCCTTTCCTTTCTTCCAGGTGGGTGCCACTTAGTCTCAGGCTCAGGCTTATATGGTTATCAATTATTGAGAAATGAAGTGCAATTACGAATGATGATGAATTAATTTGTTGAAAGGGTTGGAAAAACCACTCATCCGTTATCCCTGGGTAAAAAAAAAACTTTTACATTTTTATTCGGGGCATATGTTTCGTTTTTATCCACCACCAATTATATTTGCTGAAGCTTTACCAAGCATGCATATTAAAATACCACACCATCACCACCGCCACTGCCAACAAAAACAATGCTCCGTCGAATGTGGCCAAGTGGCTCCGAAAACAAAACGAAAAACGCACGTAAAACAGCAGCATAACGAACATCCAGTAGCACTTTTAGTTCTGGAAAATTCAAAAATCATGTTCGCAAACGAACGCGCGTGCACAACAGTGAGACCAAATGAGAAAAGCAAACACGCACCACCACCAACAACAGCAGCCAACAACGTTGGCTTGTTTACGATGAAATTAAATTCCATTTGCTTAATTAATTAAATAAAATGTAATAGATGAAATTTTCCGGGAGATTAATAGTAATTATATTAATGAAAAACATAACTAAAACGATTCATTTGTCGTACATATCGTTGCATACAATTTATCATGAATTTAATTTGGAAATGGCATATATAAATCGATTTAATGGGTCGTTTCATGATTTTCGAATATGGTTTTTGTGTGCTTGTGTGTTCAGCGGCGAGTGTGTGTGGGCGAATGAAGCAGCAAGCGTGTGAGAGACGAAGAGAGCGATTGAGAGAGCAACGGAACGAGGGAGAGAGAGAATGCGTGCGTGTGAGTGTGTATGACAGATCAAATCATAAAAGAACCGAACCGAACCAAACCGAAACTTCTAATCTATCCATCTATGGGCTTGTACACTCAATTTGCCTTTAATTTAAATACTTCCATACATTTGCACCCAAATCGATCAAGTTAATTGATAACAGCCTATAAAACCCTCCCCGGTTTTTGTGTATGCAGTACATAGCCACTCTGTCGCTTTTCGCTCTTCCACCCACTCTCTCATTCCGTTCACTCTCATATGCGCCGAGTCCCGGTTCCTTTTGAATGCATTGCATAAAGCTCCTTTGGCACCACTTTATACACATATGCTTTGATTATTTTACTGCAACATGCTTTCAATATAATGCTTTTATGTAAACCGCTCGCTTTTTTTCGAGCACTCTTTGTGCGTCTCTCACGCAAAATCACGTTTTTATGGGTACTTACTCACAGCGATTAATCGGATTGGATTAAAAAAAAAAAAGAGTTGAGATCATAATTATGCGACAGCCACATTCATACCCGTCTGATTTTATCGCACCAAATAATCGGCCGTTCTTACTAAATGCATTATATGTATTTTTTTTCATGTACAATCAAACAAATCTTTACATGAGCTTTTAAACGCTTGGATATAACCCGTTTGTTCTCGATAATCTTATTTTATCGCGAAACGAGCGCAGCACGGCTGCAGGTGAAAAAAAACCTCACATAAATTGACGGCCTGAGAAGAAAAACCTTTCCTACAAAACCTGTGCGCAGAACACAAACACAGAAATTTTTTAGTCAAAAGGCGAACAGCAAATTTGCGAGCGCAAAAACCCTAGGGGATTCACGCCAAATTTTATTTAGCAAAATCTATTTGTATTATTTAAATCATGTAAAATTCACGCTGGATTTCAAATATTTTGTATTATTTCCCGAATGCGTTGTTATTGTTCATATTCACCTTTAACAATATGTTCTGGAAGTGGGTTTTGGTGGATCTTCAGGATGGATCAGACTGGGTTTGACAATGCCCTGGTCCATCCTGAGGATCCACTTCCAGAACCAGGAGCGGTTTTGAACAATCCTGAGGATCCACCAAAACCCACTTCCAGAATTTTTGAAGCGATAATGACGTCAACAGATTAGACATGGTTCTGCTGACAGTCGGTTTATTGAACAAAATTGAGCAAAATTGAAATTATGCATACATATCTGTTTAATATGTTAAAACATAAACAAATTCATATTATTTGTTCATATTTTAAATATGGAAATTGGCGTGAGTCCCCTAGCAAAAACCTAATATATTTACAGCGAGCGCAAAAGTATAACAAGCCTACTAGCATGCAAACTCCGTATAAGTAGGCCTTTTAGGACTCTTTATTTTGCGCTCGCTGTAAATATATTAGGTTTTTGCGCTCGCAAATTTACTGTTCGCCTTTTGACTAAAAAATTTCTGTGTTTGTGTTCTGCGCACAGGTTTTGTAGGAAATGTTTTTCTTCTCAGGGCGTCAATTCATACTTAATCTTATGAACATAAATTTGGTTACAATCCATCATCTAATTATTTATCTGGGAGCGTCGTTTTTTTCCGCTGTCGTTGACTGATGAAACATTAACTCATGTTTTGCGCAAATGTATTTTCTGTTTCGAGATGCTGACTAGGTATGGCTTACAGTTAATTATGCACAACATGATGACTGTGGTCGTACAAAATTCGACGTGCTTTTTGCCCGGATCATGTTTAAACTGTAATAAAACAAAAGCAATGTACAGCCCGAATTCAATTATGCACAACACAACAAAGTCATCAGCAGCGGTAGCAGCGGCAGCAGCAATATTTTCAATGTTTTCCCGTAGTAATCAGTCATTTTATTTACTAAAATTCGCTGATAATTTGATCATTTCGGCAGACAATACCATTTTCTCCATTAAGCAAAATAATTATTTCCAAAAAAATATATTGTGCAGTGGTGGGATTGCAATTTGAACGTAACATTACGAGAGAGAGAGAGAGAGAGAGAGAGAGAGAGAGAGAGAGAGCAAGAAAAGCGACACGTTCTTTGTTGCATAGACGATGAATTGTGTCGTTTTGTCGAGAACAAGCGAGAGTATGAGGTATGTCGTGTGGTCCGGCATGCATTTTGCAAAAACATGCAAGATTTCATGTTTGCAGTGCACACGTGTATCGAACTGGTGTTTATTAATATTTGATGGCTAAAAGGTAGAAAATTTCGGTTTAAAGTTTTATAAAATATAAATGGTGGTTAAATGAATCACTAAAACATCATGCAGTTTGCTGTAGTTGTTTTTTGCTGCTTTTTGGTTTCGTTCTTGCAGCATCGTGTTTTTATCGGGTAGTAAGGACGATGCTTGCACACTCATTCACTCACACACACACACGTACGGTCAATTTTCCGAATTTTGAGGAGCGTCGATGGTGTACAACAGTATGCACACAAACACACATCACCTCTCAATTTGCAGCTGAATAAAAGTTTCGTTTCGTTCATTTTGCAATTTCAATAGACGAAATTCATAGATATTCGTGTATATATTCACGTTGCATCTAATATTCATGAGAGAATGAGAGAGAGAAAAGGGAGAAAGAGGGAGAGAGATGGAGGGAGAGCGCGCAAAATGTATGCAGTGACTGCATGTATTCATCAAATTTTCAATTAGGAAATCCCTATGGCATACGCCAACACGTTCGGCTCCGAAGAGTCGAAATAGAAACCATCAACCGAAAATGAGAAAACTGCAGCAGCAGCACCACCAACGAGAGATGCCATGCGAGAGAACAACAATCGAAATAAACAACACTAAACAGCACGAGCAATATACCGACAGCGACAACAACAGCAACCACCAGTAGTAGTAGTAGTAGTGGTAGCAGCAACAGCAGCCATAGCAGTGGAAACAGCACATACATGCATTAAGAAAATGCCATGTTATGAACTTTGTTTGTAATCGTTTACATTAAATGCATAAATGTTGCAGTTTACTGCTGCTGCTGTTGCTGTTCTTGATTCTCGGTGTCTCGTGGAGAGTGGGGAAAGCAATTTTCAATTCCTATTATATACTGAAAAATTGACTACTACATCGAAAACAATTTCCTATTAGTCAAATGAACCACAATTCGGTAGTTTCAAACATTATACAATCATGTCACCTGACCCGATCATATCGTCAGCTCTCTTTTGCTCCTACTCCACTTCATCTCTTCCTCCCTTAAAATCCAGGCTCTCCGTTGCTCGTTCGTTCGCCTCCCACCCTCAAAATATGAACAATCACAAACTCAAATTACACTTGATTATATTCTTCAATGGTTTATTGCAAGGCAAAATGGGTTCGTTCGATGGAAAATTCCTTCGTCTTTGTTTCGCCAGAAAACTTTTCGACGTATGAAAAATATTGCTTTTCATTTTGGGAAATTTGTTCGCAGAAATAACGAGCCATTTTCAACTGCACATTATGTAATTTCAGCCAGGAGTTTTTCCTCCTTTCGGGCGGGCAACGTTAGAGGGGAAAAAACCTCACCGAGTTGATATCGTTTTCTTTTACTGGTGATTATTGTGCGTATGTAAATATGTGGTTGAATTTCATTTCACAAACATGTGCACTCACGCACATACCAAATGGATCTATTTATATATGTGGGTTGAGTTTGTTTTAAACGAATTTTCATGGTTTTCCAATTTCGTTTGTTGTGCTTGATGCGCATCTGTGTGTGCGTGTGTGTTTAGAATGAAAAATCCAACAGGAAGAAACAAAAACAGAAAAAACCTGGCGCGACTCTTTATTTGAGCACAAATTATTACTGCAAATATTTTATGATGGTTTCTGACATTTTCCAATTATTACGATTCGCATTTCACATTAATCATAAATGAAAAACAGATGCGATGCGCTTCACTCCATGTGAGTAGCAGTGTGCCGGGTAGAGGGAGAGAGAGAGTATTAATTAATGTTATTATTAACACATTTCACAAATTAGGTATTGGTAGAGATTAATTGATATTTTGTGGCCAGAGTTCATAATAGTTTGTGGTTTGATACTAATTAAATTTTCTAGAATATGCCCATGCACACTCACACTCACACACTCGCGCACTCGCACACACACACACACACACACACACACACGTCACGTTCGCTTTTGGCATTTGATGATAATCCAAATATATGGAATGTATACTCTGTTGCAGCGCCTAAATTCAGCGAAAAATCATTAATGCAAATTATGCGAAAAAGAATTTGGTCGGATTGGTCGGTTCGCTCGTTCGTTGGAAATAGCAAGTCGAGTGGAACGCTAGCAGACGCGCGCGCGCGGGCATTCATTGAAATATGAAAAATGAAATATGCCAAATCCAAACTCGATAATTAGCCAACTTTTGCACAATTCTCTCTAATTTGGTTCCAGTTGCGGTTTTCGCATATTTCAATGTAATTGGAATACGATCGAAATTGGTTGGAGTTGTTTTTTGTTATTTAACTCCCTTTTTCTCTCCGCATCGTGTGCTTAAAAAGTTTTGTTGAATGTTTCACTCTCTCACACACTCTATCGATGAACTGCGGGCAAATCATTTGAATCAAGAGCCGAAAAAGCATTTAAAATTTCGCTTTTTTGATAATCAAACACACAAATATTTATTACAAATATCTAATCGCATCGAAATTTGCATTCAGCTGTTAGCTCGATAGGAGGGAGAGAGGGAGAGAGAGTAAAGCATGAATTTGCTTAATTTTAGACACTGTTTGCACTCGCTGCTCACAGATTAGTGATTGTTGAGGTTGAACATTGAGCACGCACTCCTGGAAACATAGGAAATGGATTCCGGATCCGTGTACGTATTAGAATCATTTTGAATGTTGACACTGTACATTGTATTTTATGTGCTGATTCGCATTGCGAACAGTGCACTCAAACGTATACACACAGCAGCAGCAGCAGCAGCAGCAGCAGCGGCTGACTTTAATGATGTATTTGCACAAATGGAACTTGATGTTGGGGAAGCCAACAATTTGCGGTTCGACTTACTAACATCTCTCATCGCATCGCATCTCATCTCATGTCGTGTTGTGCGCATTTTGAAGATGTTTTCGTGTTGCGAACTTATTTAATAATAATTATATAATGACATGAAAAAGTCCATTATCAACTTTATTACACTTGAAATCCGAAGCGAAAATTAATTAAACGACATTTGAATTAAAATAAGGTGCTTCGGCAAAACTTTTGCACTCTTTCACTCACTCTCCCCTCACTATCGTCCACACATCCACATACACTCACGGAAAAATGGAAAATGAAGGGCATGCATATATGTGTGTTGTCCTTTTCCCCATGCAATTCTAAACAATTTTGAATGTGACGCAACCGAAAGCAAAAGTGGCAATTAAATATTTGACTTTTCTAAACTTGGGAAACTTCATCAAAATAAACATTTACCAATTCGAACCATAAATTACTCACACATTCTATATGTTGTCTCATTGCTCTAAGCCCGTCACTCCAACCATTGCCATCGAATTCAAATTTCGAAAAAAAACAACTTTCAACTATTTTGCCTTTTGTGTCTCTCGGCACACGCACACACACACACATACTCGGATTGCGAAGGACGTTTCAAAACTTTTTGGAAAATGTTGCATTTGAAAATTGCAAAACAAAATAACACATTATACACCAGCGGCTGTGAGAAATGAAGAAGAAAATGCAAAATGAGTGCGACCGAGTGAGGCAAAGGGAGAGAGAGATAAGGGAGCGAAAAAAAGGCGGAATGAGCGTGATATTCAGTCCATCGGAAATGAATGCGATAGCAAGAAATGTTCATTATCAAGTTTGAGTTGGCTGTTATTTGCAGACTGTTTGTTAGTTTGCACCATCCTACGAACAGAGTGTCGGGCTCTTGGATCTATAACGACGCTTAGCTCGGACATTAATTACAAGATATACACAATTGCAATTTGGCTCAAACCGTCCAAAAAACAATGGAAACAATGATAAAATCCCATCTCATTTCATTTTCGCCAATCCCAAGCTGTCTCTTTCTTTCGCTCTCCTGCACTTGTTCTCCTCTTCTCGATCTTCCTCGTTCACTTTTCACTATCCCATATATTCGGGCATTTGACGACAACAACGAAAACGGTTTCCCCTAATTTCAGCTACTGCCACTACTCATGCATACATTGTGTTTATAGGTTTTGCGCGCAGCCAGTTTAATTTCACATAAATTTCTAGTAATGTTTCATAATATAATCCCTTTGTACCATATTAATTAAATAACTTTATAATTGTTTTCTCTCAATTAAATCGTATATGTAGCGCTGCGCTCGTCTGCACTCGGGCATACACAGTACGCACACATATCTACAGAGAGAGAGAGAGAGAGAAAGATAGCAGTGTATGTACAATATACGCTATATGCATATCTCGCACTCCCATAACTATGTATAAATTGTGAACAGAAAGACAGAGCGATCGAGTGAGAGAGATTGAGGGAGACACTATGTGAGTGAGCGAGAAAGAGTTGTTGAAATAGACAATCGCATAGTTTCCATTTTCGAGAATTTCTTTCATTCGCTTCGATGACGTTGACGTCAAGGAATAATAATTTGTGTGTATAAATTATGTTGCGCATTGAAGGCGAAAAATGAGAACGAACTGGATTTTATTAAGAAGAAAATGGGTAGAATTGAGAGACAAAGAAAAAAAAACCGAAAGCAAAACGCGCGCGCGCATTTGACAATGCAAAAAACCACCAATTCGCTGTAATTGCGTCAACAGCAAACGCAACATTCATAAATTTTCGACGGTTTCTCATTGGAAAAACCAGCATCAGTCGAGCTTCGTTTTTTTTTATGTCGGCCATCGTTTTGGCATCCAATTAATTTAATTAATAAATTGAATTTTGTTCGAGTTCGCTTTGAATTATTTTATCGACAATGTCGACAATCCCGATAGAAATATTTTGGATTGAGCGCGCGCCAGCTCGTAAAAGTAGTGCTGGGCCAATATGATAGGAAGGATTTAATGCGAGTTAGTGATTGAAATGAAATAGAGTGAATACGGAGTTGAATGGTATCAACACAATGTATTTTGAAATCTGGCAAAGTTGGAAATTCTACGAATGAATGGGGGGAAAACCGCATTGAAATACGGAAAGCACCAAATGCTCAATGCATACTCTCCATACCATAAAGCAATTCGCTAATTTAGTGTACTCAGTTAATGAATAATTAGCGCAAAGAGTCTTATTAAGAGTAGCAGTGTGCGCGGCTTTGTGTGTTTGTAATTTCCTCTTTTATATCGTTTCCCTTCAATTCAATTGAGTTTTTGTAGCCACTTGCTTGATCGCTCTCCGTTTTTCTCTCTGTATGTGTATCCCCGCAGTACCTCCGCTCGTATCTCTCTTTATTTCCACCTCGTCGTTGACGTCGTCAACGTCTCTCGTATCGTCGTTGTTTCATTTTTTTTTATCGCTTTTTATCAAATTGTTTTATTGCTGAAAAGTAATTGGGATGTTTATACGTTTTCTCTGCACTGCCATCGATAATTGATGTGGATTGAACGAGCCGCGCACTTCGCTTATAAAACATTTTACAATGTTCTCATTCGGTTGCGCGTGTTTTACTGTGTACGTGCGTGCGCGCAACGCGCACTACAATGGATTCGCAGCCGTATATTGTATGGCAAGCAAGAGAAAAAGAGAGTCCGTGTTGAGTGCGCGCCGTGTGCGCTGTGTGTATTTTATTGGATTTCGTAGCCATTTACAATGACGAGCTAACAAACCTTTTATAAAAAATCAAGAAAATTAGCAACAACAACAGCAAGAGCAGCAACAGCAGCACCGCACCAATACAAAAATGCTAGACTCGCATCCACTCGACTCGACTCAACGTACACATGTAAAAAGCTAAATGAAGTGTGCACTTAAATACCAATTTAATAACTTTAATTAAATTTTGCTGTTCATTAAAAGTTTTTTTTTGCCTCATCTCTCCCGTCGCTGCTGCTGTTGCTTGTCTCTGTCGTCGTTAGTCGCCGAGGCTCTCGTTCGGTACACACACATACACACAAACACACAGATAAATACACACATTTGTACCGCTTGTGTTCATCTCGTATTCCATCCAATTTCAATTTCGTAATTTTACTCGTCGTTGAGCTCTGCATAAACCGTTTGCTATTGCCTTCTGCTTGCCGCTCTATCGCTTGCTCCTCGCTTACCGAATATGCTGAATGGAAAAACAGATGTATAATATCGCGTTGCGATATAGCAAAGCAGGCAAGCAACCAGAAGAGAGGAGCCAAATTGTGTGTGTTTGTGTGTGTTGTGCGAGAGTGGGTGAGTTGGAAAAAAGATAACACAAAAATAAGGGATGGATGGCGGTGAGAAGGAGATATACTACTGAATTCATTCCTTCTCTCTCCCCAACAACTAATTATGTATATGGGCATTTATAAATATAAAATACAACTCATTATACGTATACTGCTGCATTACAGATTATTCATTTTGAAAAGTGCTTCTCTTTCGATATTAGAGCATTTGCCTGTGCTCACATACATCGAGCAACGCGTTGCTTAAATAGAAAACGCTGCCACCACCAACAGCAGTCGAGAAACAGAGAGATGGAATGCCCGCTCAATTGCTCACCCATTCTATACTCGAGGCTGCATGAATCGGCAAGGGGGCGAATTGGTTGGTGGTCGTGTTTGAAGTTGAAAGATACACATTACGTACATATATGCGTTTTTAGAAGATTGAACCGCACCAACGATAGAGAGAGAGAGAGAGAGTGAGCACATTGTGCACACATTAAATCCCCTTAATGCTTCGCATTTTCAATTTCAATTAGAAAATAAAGTGCACTTATCGAACGTAGCGTCAAAGCCATTTGACCAAGTTATCAAGAGCACAGCAAACTGAGGGCACACACTTAATGCATATAAATTTCTCGCGAAATTCCATCAAAACACTCATCGTAGCTATCATTAATTAGCCACTGTATCACCGTTCAATCAGCGCACACAATGTATTATTACTGCACCACCATCACCATCAATCAAATCCATAAATAACATTCATTTCACATCTTAATGTTTTCCTTTCTTTCGTTTCAGTTGCGCTTATAATTGACTTTAGCTGCAGTTTATCCACTGAAAATTGTCTGGTGAGTCCTTAATTAATATTATGCCCACTTGAAAAATCCCTTTGAAATAAAAATTATAGCAGAAAACTAGTCCATTGTAGTTTCTTTGTTCGCTTGCCATTGTGTATGCATGAAATGATAAAATGTTTGACAAGAGTGAAGTGTGTCACTTTATTTGCATGGCTGAAGAAACATCAAATACAATTGTTCGACTCGACAAAAACTTTTTGTCGAAATGACTTTATTTAGTAGTTTATGTACGGATTTTCCACAATGGAACACACACACACACACACACACACAGTTTTCGAAAGACATAAAACATTATCTTAAAAGATCAAAATCCAATTGGTCTGAGTGAACGGAGTGCTGCCATCGTTCTTCTTCTTTTTTAATCTCTTTAACCGAAACACAAACGATTTGCGAACGCGTCGCGCGCACGAGATAGAGGATAGATGATGATGATGATGATGGAAAAAATTGAAGGCAGTGTGCGCCGTATATACACAGCCACATGGAGAGAAACAAAGACTGTGCCACCACCGTGTGTATAGGCAAAGATACAATTTGTGAATTGTATTTACGAATATGAGTTTTGAACTACTCTATTTCTTTCACTCGAAAAAAAAGTGGAAGCAACAGCAAAAAAAACTGGCATTCGCCAAGCTTACTTGCTCATTTGCTCCACACCAGTGTAGTATTCTTTCGGATGCTCTCCAGTCGGAGTCCAAAAGCATTACATATATTACATATACATTGCAATATTTTCCCTTCGCTGCCATATCCGTAATGAATTAGAACATAAATATCATATTGTGTTCGAGTGAATTTCAGAATCAAAATGCTTTTCCGAAATGTTATCTGTGCGTGTGTGTGAGCTTGGAGCGAGCGAGTGAGCAAAAAGGCGGCCGCGGAAACAGCACGCATCAATAAAGTATGTGTCTGAATGTGTTCAAATGTGAATTGCTGCTGCTGCTGCTACTCTTCGTTCTTTCGATGTGTTCGAATATACTGCATAAAAAACGGCACCACTTTCGGAAAAGGGATGAAAAAAGCACAACATCAACAAAACACTAGATGCGAATGATTTTAATGTATTTGCTAAATATATAATGCTTTCCCAGTTCAGCAAATCGATGATAGCGAAAGAAGAACACATACACTAACTCACACGTTCCACGTGTGTATCGGCGAGATGGCACGAGCTCCCGTCTATTCTCTCATTTGCCCATGTGTCTGTATATTCATATTACGATATTACAAGTAAACAAATTGTTGGCAGTGCGTTACTGTTCAGTAGCAACAGAAAGCAATTTAGAAAATTAAATCAATACCAATATCACATATAGACGTTGGTGGAGTGGATGTGGGAATGCACGTACCTCACTCACTTTGGCATCGTGTGGATGGTCTTGGTTCCAAATTTGGTAATACGCTTGTGCTTGGCACACTCATATCGAAATACTTTTTACGGGCATTTTGCATACCAATCTCTGAAGAAAAAAAAAACAACGAATGGTGGGCACATCCATTCGAAATTCACCTAGTTTACATCAAATGTTATCGTTTTAGAACCGGAGCCAGAAAATGGACACCCAATTTTCTCGATAAATATTCGATTGAATTAATTTCATAACAATTTTTTTTGCGCCGAAAAAAAATTTCAAATTATTTTCAGCTCGTAAATTTCCGGTTTTTCGCGCGCAATAGTTGGGTATGAGTTGCAGTGTTCCGGTTCGAATGTATGCAAGGCATGATGAAATTGAGCTCTCTGCTTCGAAACCTTCAATCAAAACATTCTCTCTCTTGTTCGCTCGCTTGCGCTCTCTTTCAATTTCGCTCACCTCCGCACAAGAAGCCTAAAATGTTTCATTGTGCACCGGAAATGAGTTTTCACATGTGTGCTTTAATCAATATCCTTTCTCTCTTGTTGTTGCCCAGTTTGACTACCACATTCCACGAACCATATCTCCAACCATTCGTTGGCACTCTTTTACGCCTCACCTCCTCCCACCCCGTCCGCGTTCATTCGTTCGAGAAATTTTCAATTGCTGATATATGTTAGCAATCTCGTTGGAACTAATTCATTAAAAAAATTGTTCGAAGTGTATCACACACATCCTTCGATTTTATGATGCAGTTCATTCGCTCGCTACGTTCGTTCGTTAGCTCGCCCATTCGCCAGTGTATTGCTGGCTCACCGTAGACACGCGACTGCGGAATATTTTCTTGTTAAACCCAAATAAACATAAATTGGCGAATGTGTACCAATATTTTGTCGATGTCGGAGTGGAGCGAGCGAACGGAACGATTGAGTGTGTGTGCGTTGTACCAGTGTCGAGCACTCGGTTCGTTAGCTTTGTGTGTGCATATATATGTGGCCGCATCATCGTGTTCCATCCATTCCATCGCGTATGCGGTAGTCTATTCTCTAACATTGATTTCCTTTTAGCTCCTTTTCGTAATTAGAAGTTTTCCAAATGAAAAAAATAGCAAATGGAAAAGAAACAGGGAGCGCGCGCGGTGCGAGAGAGGGAAAGTGGGAGCGCGCCAATGAACGGCAAACGAATGAGCGAAATGCGCCAAAGAAAATAGCAGCCAAGGATTCAAAGTATCAGCAGCAGCACCGAAACGAAACACACAAACACCGAATTAAATGGCATAGATAATACACATATGTCGACTAGAAATAATAATAACTGTTCTGAAACAGTAATAAATTTTCAAACTGCCACAGAATTCACATGGCACTATGATTTATGCACAAATATTAATAATTGAAGATTTTCGTTGTGCGATTTTTATTATGCCTTAGCATGCATGATGAACGCGGCCACCGCCACACACAAACACATTGTCGAAAATAGAGAGAGAGAGAGAGAAAAAAGACGACGAGGCGTTCTCAATCATCGTCGTACAACGCAATTAGAGGATTTTTTGATGATTTAATACAATATTTGGGTATTTACTGCATAGTCAAAATCGTATTCAAGAGATAAAGAGTGCGGCAAAGAGTGAGACATAGAGAAAATCAGAAAAAATCTGCCAGAACATATTTCTTTTGTTTCTTGTTGGCTTTGGATCGACCGAGATCTATCTTGGCACATTCAGATAAATCACAAATGATAGTTGAAATAGTTTTTTTTCGTTCATGCCCTCAACAGTCAACACTTCGCATGTAATTATGAGCATTCCGAACTGTAGGAGAAAAAAAAGAGCAGCGACGCTGAAGTGAGATGGAGGGAAAAAAGGGAAATTTGGCATTTGTGTTATTGTTGAGATTATATGCTATATGCATGAAAATCACTGGGGACATGGCTATACGTATCCGATTTTTTGTTGTTGTTGTTGTGCGCTATGCACACTAAACTAGATCAAATCCAATTAATGGCAAATGATTCGTGTAAAATGGCATGAATAAATTTGATTTATTTTCGCAAAAATTGACAATCAGAAGGACAGCGAATAAATAAAAGTTGACAATGGCTTTTGGAATTGAAGGTTTTTTTCTGCGTATTTGTGTGTATGATTTGGCTGCAATGTGAGAGTTGAGTATTTTTTTTAGAGACAATTCCATTAGTTTTAATTTGGTTGTTGTGGCGTCAGTTTGTCGATTGTGATGACGTATCGCTCGATACTCGGGCAGATATTGGCGGCTTATGGAGATTTGGCTGGATGGATCAATTCAATTTTTGCTAATCATTCAAATTGTTTGCAGTTTTTTTTTGTCTCTCACTCTTGTTTTCCCTCACTCTCTTTTTCGCTCGTGTTCCCGTTCTCTCGTTCACTCATTCGCTCTCGTACTCTCCGTTTTGTGTTCACTCTTTCCCGAATAAATTCAATAGACAAATATTACTCACAGCAGGTTATTGCTCAATCATATTCATGGTTCAAAACGAAGGAGTCCTTCGAAAGGACATACTTCCGAAAAAATCAATGGAATACTTCAAAAGCGTAGGGTAATCAATATGCTGCGAGAATGAATAAGGGAAATAATTGTCGGTTTCTTCGGCTATTTTTTGTCCGATTTCTTGAAAATCTAGAGTGTTTTGCTTCTATTGGTTTCGTTATTGCCACATCATTTTTCGGGAGGGTTTTTCATTGTTGTTGCTGCTGCTGCTGATGATGATGCTGTTGTTGTGAAAATGCTGCAACGAACTTACATGCGCATAGTTAGATATTGTGTTAAAACATTTTCTCTTGTCTCAAACCGATTCACTTTCCGATCGACGCTCACATTCTCTCTCACTGTTTCGTCTCTGCATAACAAATAACGTAGCCATGCTTGAATTCGTTCATTCGTCTGGCAATATCCAGCTCCTCACACAGACACACTTGAATAAATGTTAATGTTTTTCTTGTTATTCACTTTAAATTTTAATTGGCTCTCTAATGAATTTGCTTTATAAATTTTATGAATAGATTGTTTGTCCTATTATGTGAATTCCGTTCACAACTTCGTCGCTCCGATTAGGACGACGACGAAAAGGAGTAAGCATAAGAGACAGAGAGGGATGGGACAGGGCACATTTGGCTGGTGTGCTAAAGTGAATCGAGTATGTTTATTTGCTGAATCGCACGTAAATTACCTCTTGTGTATCGTATGTGCAGAGTAGATGGTTAGCAGTTGTTGCTGTTACGAATTGGACACACCATTTCCAAACGTCCTATCTAACGAATTTGCTGAGAGAGTGAGAGCGAGCATCTTATGCATACACACACGTTGTCTTGATTGCATTATCAGAGTTACCATGTGAATGAGTACATAATACATAACCCAATTATATAGTTTCTCTTGTCGTAATTTTCCGTAATTGTTTGATAAGTCTTCGATAAATTCATAACCGCACACAAGTCTAGTGGTGGCGGCAGCGACAACGGTCTCCCCCATCGCAAAATGACGATGTCGACGACAACAACGACGATATTGTCGTAAAATTTGATAGCAAAATATGATTGCGAAATTTGGTCGCGATTTTCGGATTTAAAGAGAGTGAGAGCAAGAGTGTGAGACAGAGAGA